CGCAGATAGCCCTCGTGTAGCTTTGCGCGAAATTCAAAACAAACAAACCTTATCATACCAAGCGGTTTCTGTTGTAGGCTGGCATGAGAATAATAAGAAGAAGAAATAAAAACGGACCAGACCCCAGTGGCACAGAGGTATGTCTGCGGACTTATGGCGTTAGAAACCGGGTTTCGATACCCGTGGTGGGCAGAGCACACATAGTCCATTGCGTAGCTTTGTGCTTAACTTAAAAAAAACAGGTCGTTTATAGCAGATTTTCTTTTCTTTGTAACATGCTTGTTTCTTGTGAGCATTTTTATATGTGTACAGCTTTTGTAGCCAATAGTAAATGTTTTAAAGTATTGTTTCAACTGAATCTTTACTGTTTAAGGTTGTTTTTCACCCAAACGTTCTGTTAGGAGTTTGTGCAATACCTAGCGATCCCTATTATGTACCATTATCGTGGTTAATGATAACAGTTGATTGAAGTTAACCATCACGTACAACTCGAGTATACAATAATATGTTTTGCAGCACATCATCAGATATTCCATAAAATAACTAAAAGTTCTGACTAACATAAGAAACGTTTCAATGAATGTTATAGAACACTTTCGTTTATGAAAACCTGGATATGTATGCCTTGTTTTGTATCTTTGTTTGGTCTTTCAGGACAGTGGGGTTTACCAACAGTCAGTGTCGGTGCAGTTTTTGGAATGTTGGCAGCAGTATTAGCATCTGTAGTGGATTCATTAGGAAGTTACTATGCATGCGCACGACTAGCTTGCGCTTCTCATCCTCCAACTTGCGCTATAAACCGTGGAATTTTTGCGGAAGGAATTTCCTGTATCCTCTCTGGTATCTGGGGATCTGGAGGCGCGTTGACTTCTTACAGTGAAAACATTGGAGCAATTGGAATAACAAAAGTATATCGAAGTACCGCTCTTACAAAATAATTTAAATTCATCTTTATAATGATTTTAAATCTTATGCTTAACTTCGTAGATTTAATATATTGTTTTGAAATATCTATAAATCATAAGCACCAAAAGTTTAAACATTTAAATCTCAAATTATATTTGTAATTTGCTTGAGTTTCACAACTATAGGTGGCTAGTCGACGTGTTGTTCTGTGTGGTGCTGTTACCATGATGATCCTTGCAGTTCTGGGAAAGTTTGGAGCCTTCTTCAACACTATTCCTGAGCCCATTATTGGAGGAATCTTCTGTGTCATGTTTGCAACCATAACGGGAGTTGGACTGTCCAATGTCCAATTCATCGACCTCCACTCATCCAGAAATATTCTTATCCTTGGATTATCTTTATTTATGGGGATTACCATTCCAAAGTGGTTTAAGAATCACCCAGGTACTATTGATGTGGGTGCGTATATTTACTTATGTAATAGAAATTTTGCGAATAAAATTTGTTGATGGTTATAAAACAGTTTCTCAAACCATCTCTTAAATAATACAGACGGTTCAATGCACCACTATACAGAGTACCTAACGTGGTAAAATATATGGTAGCGGTTTCTCTCACGCAAAAAGAAATATTCAGCTAATCACATTGTAAAAGGAAATCCCAATAAAAACAAATGTGCGTTTCTTTACGTCCCATAACAACTAAAAAAAAAGAGGTTCTTATTATGAGCAATAAAACTGCGATTGTTAAAGAGAATTGAGAAATACGATCTCCCGGACATGACGCTTTTTCTCACAATCCATTTTTGAAGAAATGTTTTTTATTTTTTAATTTGTTAATTAACAGTTTAAATGATGCATTATCAGATGAAACTTTAAGTTTATTTTCGAACTTCTTCTTAAAAAGAAATTTTAGAAATTTCTTAGGAGAACAGAGTTTTAATGACATTTTTAGAAATAGACAAGATGTGGCTTAGCGCTAGTGTTTTGAGTTACAAATCGGTAGGTCCAAGGTTTTAGCTAGAATATGCAGGTTAACGCATTCAGATCTAGTTATTCGAGTAGCTTCATAAGCGGTAAGTGCTGCCGACTGTTTCTCTTCTTACCGATCAGGAATTTTAAATTAGAAAACGGATGTGATCGAACCTTATAGGTCCCTAACTTGGCCGTTTAGCTTATGTGTCACATAATGTGTCATTCAAGTTGAAAATATCAATACCAGCGTTAGGAAGGTCTAAATCATTTTGGTAACCATGCACACACACACACACATAAAAGAAGTTTCTTCCTGTAGAAACGAAGTATTATTAAAAACAAAAAAATATTCTACAATTAAAATGGCAATGAGGAACTCATTTCAGAATGCAAGATCTATCTTCCATAACATATATTATTCATGCGACAGAGAAGTAACGTTTAAAACTTCCTTGTATTATTTATTAAGTGTATTACTAACCCTTGTTAATAAAAATAAAATAAAATATATTTTATTTCCTTCAGGGAATGACGCAGCAAACCAGTTCATTACAGTTCTTTTGAACACTGGTGTATTTGTTGGTGGACTCATTGCGTTCGTGTTAGACAATTCCATACCAGGTAAGAGAACATTCCTTCGAGAGTTCATGAATCATTCGAATACATTGCAATGTTACAAGCATTATCTTAGGTATTTTTATTAGTTTTTAAGCAACAATATATCCAAATACTCATATTTCTATAGTAGCTTTATGATATATCACAATTTTATTATCTGGCGAGTTCGCGAAACTTTTAAAACCGAGAAAAAAGTTGCATTTGTAACATAAATTTTCTGAATCCACCTACATGTATTTTAATTTAATCTTTTAGCTTCAAAATTCCGTCTTTATGCTGTTGAAGTCAAGTTATTATGTAATGGTGTTATATTTATTATAATAATAGACAAAAATGATATATTGAGACACAAGCTAACTGTCAAAACGTATATGAAACACACACCCTTAATTGCCAAAATATTTTAAAAGCCTACTCTTTTTATAACAAAGGATGGAGGGGTTTTAAATGCCCTTTAATATTCCAATAGCAACGACCAAGATGACCATAAACATGCAACTTCTCGGAAACATTTTACAAAAGTCTGCTTTTTAGAAAGTATAAACAGTATACAAGACCTACGAACTTAATACGACAGATTACGTTTGTTTATTTTTAAAAAAAAATTTGGCACGTGTGTAATGTTCAATCTTGAAAACTAAAGAAAAAATTCTAAAAATACAACGAGTATTTTATACACAATTCAATAAAATGAGATTGTTTCCAGTCTCCGAATTACTAAAATAATAACTTACTGTACAAGGTTAAAAAGTGGTAAAATCCCCAATGTGACTGGAAAACAATCTCATACATTCTACATGTTTCGATGCAAGATATACTTTTTCACGTTTGTTTATGTTGTTGTTAAGCACTAAACTACACAATGGGCTACCATTGCTGTGCCAGACACGAGTATCGAATCCGTATTTTTAGCAATACTAGCCCTCAGACTAACTGCTGAGCCACGGAGGGGCTGTATACAAATTTACGTGGCGGTAAACACCCTTTGTTTGTTTTAGAGCAAAACCACGTTGGGCTATATACTGTGTTCATCGCGGGGAATCAAGCCCTGGGTTTTTGTGTTGTAATTTACGTACACTTACTGCTGTTTCACAGGGGTACTGGAAAACATCGAACATCTCAAACATTCATGAGTAACTCAAGAAAGGCATCAACGAAAAGACTGATAACTAGTCAGATCAAATGACAGGGATACTTGTAAGTAAAATACATATCAATACTGAATGAAGGTTCTACTGTAACCTATACCTTATTGATGAAATACAAATTGTGGACATCACAAGACGATCACCAAAATAAAGCTGAGTGTGCACAAGGTTATAATTGATTCCTTTTTTAACTTGACAGAAGACAGTTTAAAAAATTCTTACCCAGTCTTGTACATTGTGACATTGTTTGATTTACTTGTGTTGAATTGATTCGAAATGTTTTATATGTTGTTCAATATTAGTGGTGTTTTATGAATTATTACATTTTTCATTGTTACTCATTTACCTTGAAATTATCTACCACAGTCATGTTTATAAAATCTTTACGAATTTTTTTGCTTCTCCCTCTTTCAAAACGTTCATATTAAATTACGTCAAAGTAAAACTTGATCTACCCTCTATCATATTAAATTACGTCAAAGTAAAACTTAATCTACCCTCTATCATATTAAATTACGTCAAAGTAAAACTTGATCTACCCTCTATCATATTAAATTACGTCAAAGTAAAACTTGATCTACCCTCTATCATATTAAATTGCGTCAAAGTAAAACTTAATCTACCCCTATCATATTAAATTACGTCAAAGTAAAACTTGATCTACCCTCTATCATATTAAATTACGTCAAAGTAAAACTTAATCTACCATCTATCATATTAAATTGCGTACAAAGTAAAACTTGATCTACCCTATCATATTAATTACGTCAAAGTAAACTTAATCTACCCTCTATCATATTAAATTACGTCAAAGTAAAACTTAATCTACGCT